CCCGGGACATTTTCTTTGTATAGTGCTAAGTATTGTATTTCAGGATTGCTCTGATGGCTGGCAAATTCCAACTAGTGGCCTCTCAGTGAAGTCCAAGTTTGTTTCACTCAACGTTGTATGTGGACATAGATCCCTTCCTCAGTATAACCTTCAGTGTTGCTGGCCTGGCACTCGTATTTACCCCCATCCTCTGATTTCATATTCGAAAGATTCAGTTCATTATTATATATGAGTTCCTGGGAATCTCAGCTTCCAGCCCACGAAGCTCTCTGGGTTGCTGTCCGCCTCGCAACGAACCAGGAGAGAGTCACCTTCCCGAGGAACTATCTGGGAGAAGTTTGTGAAGTCCTGCACGTCTGCAAGAATCCAGAGGGACAAGGCATTTCCTACCATGGTTCCCAGACACAGGTAGCCCCGCCCCACCTAGTTTCTCTCCCCCATCAAAAAACTGAACAAGCAAACTTCCCCTACGCAGAACAAGAGTTGGACTGCCTGTTTTAGGAACAGGTAGCTGAAAAGGGGGGAGGAACTGCGTTACATGGGTTAATAATCTTGTGGAGTGAGTTGCTTATTATGCCTGTTATACAGATAGGCAGCAGAGGTGGAGAGGGTATGATTTACACACAAGCAGAGGAAGGAACTGAAGGCACCTCTCTTGTACTGGAATATGAAACACTCTGGACCTTCCTGTTTTTTTCCAGAAACGACGACTCGGCCATGGAAAAGTCAGAGGAAGAGTTTGTTAAATATTGTGATTTGTGGGTTGATTTATTTCTTGTGGTTATCTGTGTGAGTGTGTAGCCACACAAACGCACTGAAAACTTACCTCCGTTGGGGCGTGTAAGGTGCCCACTGAACTGTAGTTTCCTTGGGGGATCTGTAACACAGAGACAGGCATGGCTGGTAAGGGATCCCTCTGGTGAGGCAGCAGCAAAGTATAAGAGAAAATCTGATCTGAGGATTCCCATTCTCAGTCAGGACTATGAAGCTGCGTTGGGCTTGCTGCATTTGCCCTAACCCCTTCAGCCACAGCCAGGCTTTGGCTTCACTGTCCCCACATTGCTCTGCAGCAGTGATGGCGAACCTTTTAGAGAACAAGTGCCCAAACTGTGACCCAAAACCCACTTATTTATCGCAAAGTGCTAACATGGCAATTTAACCTGAATACTGAGGTTAAGAACATAAGAGAAGCCAATGTTGGATCAGGCCAACGGGCCATCCAGTCCAACACTCTGTGTTACA